CAAAATGATCAAAAGTCATCCCAACAAAAAAATAATACCCTTAAAATCACCTCTATTTCAAAGATTGCAATATTACCCTTTAAAAATCTTACAATTAAAAAATCACTTATCTTCCAATGTACAAATAAAACTAAATACTTGTAGTTTCTAAGTCATCTAAGCTTGGTCAAAAGTTACCCTTATACGAAGTATACAATTTACGTGGTGGTTAAAAGTTATTCTGACATAAATGTTTTACAATAATCATTTTTTTATTAGAATCATCATGAACATGAGAATGACTTATAGTTAGATTAAAATTGAGCATTGAAGGCATTGATGGGTATAATTGCGGAAGTTGGTCGACATTAAAAGATATAAGAGTGAAGGGGTGGGGGGTCGGTGGTACCGGGCAAAGTGGTTGTTGGTGGTGGTGCTTGTGCAAGTTGGTGAAGGAGGTCGTGGTCAGGTGGTGGTGATGGGGAAGAGAGAGAATGAAGTGGTGGCTAAAGTGGTTTTTCTTATTAACTTTAAATATCAAAGCTGAAATATAAAATTTCTAAACCAATTAGAAAGTGCTTTGCATAGGTGACCGACTATAAAGGTTTGTTTACCGGTTGGGAATGTTAAAAGTGGATTGGTGTCAACGTTTGGATTACAAATTGCTTAATGGTTATATTATTAGAATCAACTTTCCCATTTCTTAAGGAATTTTCTAATTAGATTGCTTGATTATGAGATGAGTGCTTAGTAATGTATTTTGCTTGTGTTGATTAAACAATAATTTCTTAATTTTGTCACTAATTAAAAAGGAAAAAAGGAGAGACTTTTGAAAATAAGGAAATTTAAGATAATCCTTTAATTTTTTTTTTCATTTAATTTTTTTAATTAATTTATTTATTGACTCAACATATTTGATACTATTAGCATCTGTAATGCACACTCCATTTTATTTACTCAATTACCCATTCTCTTTTTCTCTCTTTTTTTATCCTCATTTGAATGAAAAAACACTTTGGATTTTGTTATGATATGTTTCCCCCTTTTTTTAATCGCACCATTTGCACTTTTTTCACTATTCACACGGCTCTTTTACTACAAAGTCTTGTATGAGGTGAGTTTACGTTTTTCTTGTTTTATTATCGTCAATTTGAGGGTAATATTAACACTTTTACAGTAACTTTAATCCCTTTAAGGATAACTTTCAGTTTGTAATGACTTTAATTGTATTTTAGTATGTAATTTGCTATGTTTTAATGGATACATGCTAAGAAGGCTAATGTGACTAATTTAATGCATTTTAAATAATTTTTAAAGAATAAAATTTATTTTAGGAAAATGGTAACTTTTCTAGTATATTAGGGTAACTTTAACCGTCTTACAATAACGTAATGAAAGTCCGCCTTAATCAATAATTTGTGTTGTGAGTCTGTAACTATATTTTGTGCTTTTTATGTTAGAAAAAATAGTCATGTGAGATCTTATTAGATTTTTATTTTTATTTATATTTTAAAATGTATTTTTTCTAATATATCCTATTTTTAATTGCACTAACTAGAAGTGAATTAAGGATAATATTACCAAAGGTTTTTAAGTGTCAAGTATGAAACTCTAAGTGGTATAATTAAAATAACGGAGGAAGTATATTATATTAGTAGAATAGGTTGTGCATATGTGATCATGCTTGTGGTCTTAGGCTTTAATGTAATTGTGAATCAATACATGGCAAGCAAACTAATGCCCTGGTGCTCTCAAACCCTAATTTATTTTTGGATAAATTGGTAAAAATAGTCCCAACTTTTGCTTGTTCGTCCAAAATAATTCAAACTATGGATTATCTTAAAATGATCCGAACTTGAGGGTTATTCAAACCTGTTAAAGTGGTTTTTGTTTTGTTTAAGTTACACGTGTCTCCACGTGATCCATTGAAATAAATTAATTAAAAAAAAAGAAAACCTAAATATAAAGCCCCACCCAGCCATGCAACCCCATCACCACCCAGGAGCCTCCCTCCCAAAAGGCCAGCCTGGTCCCAGTCTCCACCGTCTTCGGCGGCCCAGATCCCCATCCCCAGCGCTGCATTTCCCCTACCCCTTAAACCATCAAACCCCTCCCCCACCATATGAACCCCCAACCAACCCTCCCCACCCTCGGAACCTTCTTGTTGACTAGGGGTTCCGAGGGTGGGGGAGGGTCGGTTGGGGAGGGGCGGTTCAACCAGGGATTAGGAGGGGTTCCGGGTTGGGTATTAGGGTGGGGGTTTGGTGGTTCGGGGGTAGGGGAAAGGCGGTGCCAACATGGGGAAGGGGGGCCCGGGCGTGGGCGGGGATGAGGGGATGTGGAAGGGGGCCGTAGCCGGTGGTGGGGAGGGGTGCTCGTGGGTTGGCTAGTTTTTATTAACCCTTTTTTTTCAATTTTGTTTGACACGTGTCCTCTTAACTTATTATGTAGTGTATATCCTAAAAACATGACAATTCTATGACTTCTCGATGGTTCACTTGAGCAAGTTCACTTCAGTAATCAACACCTTCTCAAGCTATAAATTTGTCACCTCTTTTTGCCATTTTCCAACCACTCCCATAGTTTAAACCCTTCTGTGCAGGATCTTCAGGCTAATATAATTCGCATTTGATGAATTGCCATCTAGGATATATTGAACTCCATAACCTCAACAATGCCATAGGTACACCACACTTGGATTCCATAGGCTGCCTCGCCCTCAAACCCACCCAAAGCACTTGAGTTTGACATTCTGATGCTAAAATAAAGAAAGCTTTCAAGTTCAATTTGTCCAAAAGATTGTGTAAACACTTAACCAAATTTTAGGGTTTGTGAATAACAAAAAATCGAAGAAATAAGTTGAGTAGAAAATTAAGACCTCAGGTCTTTTTGGACAAATAATTTCCAATATTTGTATTAATTTGCTTCTCTGTACGTGTGTCCAATTTCAGGACATAAAGCACTATGTCCTAGAATTTTGAGTTTTTGACATGTGGGATACTTGTTCCAAAAGATTTCTTTTGCTCTTTCTTGCTGTTTGTTAACACATATTAATCAGTTTCTTTCTCTTCTTTATATCCCTGAAGTCGTCTACTGTCATTCACCCCCCCCCCCCCAAGTCCTCTACCCATTCCTGGAAACCCAACACTTCTACCTGAGTTCAGGTAACGTACATGGTATCTAGGAGACATTAAGGGAATCAAAAGGGTCTTTTACCTTTCTTGCTGTTTGTTAACACAGTTAAAATCATCTCCTTTCTCTTCTTTATTCCTGCAAAGTCGTCTACTCTCATCCCCCCACCGCCAAAAGATTCTCCATTCCCTTTTCTCTAGATTTCTACACTACTTCCACCACCCATAATCTGTTAACTCCATCCACCACCACAACCACACTTAACTTTTAACTCCATCCATTATCATCCTAACGTCGATCTGATCAGTCACCATGAAACCCACCCACTTACCACCATGAAACCTGCTCACCAACCCCAATATCCAATACCCATGAAAATCAACCCAAACACTACAAAAACCACCTTGCCTAACACCAAGAAAAATCCAACCACCAAATATACCAAAAACAATGAACGAAAAAAAAAAAAATCCACCTCAAACTCGAATGAACATCCCAAATACGTCGAATGAATATCCAAATATATCTTTATATCTTAAACGATGGTTTTAGAAGGTCCAAGTCGACCATAAAAAATCCATATCTGCAGTTGTAGGGTCGAATTTTACCACTAAAACCTATGTGAATGGTTGAATGAAATGGCGGTGGTGAGGTAAGCTAATACATCAGCAAGGAAGAGATAAAGAAAATGGTGAGAGGAGTCTAGGAGATACTCTATGTTTGACTTCTGTGTTTTGTGTAAACCATTTGACCCAATCAACCTACTATATCAAAGGGATTACATACATTTGCTTCCCTATCCTTTCCCCTCTCAACCAAATGGCCCCTAATTGTTTGGTTTTAAATAGACCATCTTCTTGTTGTCTTCATGATTTTCGTGTCACTACATCAACTTATATTGTAAGCTCTTTCCTGTAACTGTGTGATCTACATTATCATCATAACTTTGTGAATGATGAAGTGTTCGGAGAATGTTCTACTTTGTTGTGTTAGAAGGTGCATAAACAATGTGTGATGGAGCTGCTTCCAATTGCTCAGAAATTCTCAGTTATGTGTATTGATGCTTTTCATTTTAAACCTGCCTTTTTAGGATATTTTATTAGGCCTGAGATGAGAGTCTTTTTCTTGTAGTGATCCCAAAGGAATATGTTACATGATCTATAGTAATGTTATTGTTTTGATACGGAGGATTATCAGATGATTTGGATGGGTCTGAAACTCCGTTTTATGTTCAGTGTAGTGGACAGCCACTTGAAGTTTCTTTTGTCCATGTTCGTAACATTAACCTTCTGATTATGTTAAAAGTGTATTTATTACTCTTTAAATGCTGCTTCTGAATAATTCAGTAGAAAATGACAAGATGGTTTGCCAATGAATGAAATTTTGCCTAAAAAGAAGCACTTAGGCGTGCAAGGAGGATTTTGCTTTCTTTTCTTGCTGCGGTTCTTAATGGACAAGTGTTTTCCGGACATGGTTATTCATCAAGTGGAAAGACAAATGTTTTACTTTCTGATTTAGCCAGTTTGTGAAAATTATTTATCATTTCTTAGTTAACATTGTAGATTGTACACTTCAACTCTCATCAAGTATACTTGTGATAACCCTCACCACTCAGTAGATAGTTGTTTAATTTTGGAGAATAATGTTGATAATGCTAGATAACGTGTTTTCTCATGCAATTCATATCGTTTCTCATTCTTGATTTTTTAATCATGCCTAAGTTGTGTATTAGACATTGACGTACGTGGTCTCTTACTATTTCATGTACGATTATTGTCTTAAGCATGCCAAGTGGTAGGCAAATGCAACAAACTAGTGTTTCACAGAAATATGTTGTCTGTTAGTCACTTGTGAAATTATACTCACTTCGTCTGTGAATTATTTTTCAGGATGATCAGAGGAATAATTCGCATGTGTTGCCAAATCCTGTAATAGAACGAGTAAGAGAACTTGCTAGTGCTCCTCCTGTTCTGAGGGGTAGAGGTAGAGGTGGCCGAAAACTTTCAGCTTTAAAATGCCCTGATATGCCCCCTTATTTAGCTGAGTGAGGCAGTTCTGTTAGTCATTACAGAAGCTGCATTTGATGAGTAGTTAGAGGCAAAGATTTGTAACTGTTGAGATGATAAAAATCTTTTTTACCTGATACAATTGAATTCAGTGGTCTAAATTTCGACCCTTACTAGGCTGATTTATCGAGAGTTCTTAATAGCTTTTTTGCATCAGAAAAAGGAACAGAAACCATACAGCATAGTTAATGCTTTTGTCATCTTCCATCTACAAAGTAAGGATATGTAAAAACCTTGATAGGTAGCTGCATTACTTGAGTTGCCAATGTTGCCATCATCTGCCAATTGTATGTCTCTAAACATGTAAAGTCTTCTGTTAGAATGGAGATGTATGGGCGTTGTTATCTTTTCACTTAAATGTCCAAATCTATGGTTAATTTCGGATGATGGTAACCAATTATTATGGTCACCTTATTGCACAAGTAAGCGTCTGTTTATTTTTTTTCTTCATCGGCATGCATAACTTGAGCATCAAAAATTCAAAAGCACTTGTTTTACATGTCTGTTCTTTGTGCTCTTGAGTCAGTCCCAGACTCCAAGCCATTGCTGCAGTTTTAGGCACTGATGATATTGATGCACTGATGATATATATATATATATATATATATATATATATTATATATATATATATATATATATATATATATGGGATCCGGTGAGAATAGGTTTGTATGTGAGAATTCATACTTATAGGTTTGATTTAAAATTTAGAACGTGAATAAAAAATTTAGAACACTTGGTATAAAATATTGAAAATGGGAGTAAAAATATTGAACATATAAGTAAAAATATAGAACATGTGAGTCAAAATTGGAACATATGCTTTCGAATTTAGAACATATAATTAAAAATCTTAGAACACACGCACGTTTTAAAATTTATAACATATAAGTTAAAATTTCAGAATAAGTCATTTAAAATTTATAATATCTAACTTAACTAATTTATGAATTAGAACATGTGAGTACTAATTTAGAACCTCTGATTTAATTTAGAACACTTGGGGAAAACTTTAGAACATCAGATTTAAAATTTAGAACATAAAAAGTGTTCTCACATAAGAAAAATTCTCACGAGAGCCTCCCCCCCACACACACACACGTTTGCTTTGATATGAGGGTACAATCATAAGGGTGAGCATAGATAACTACTTATCCGAACCTAATTAGTGTAGATAATGAATGTTAAACCCGCTTATTCAAGAATAGGGTTTTCTCGCTTCTTCCTTAATGGGATTTGTTACTCAAAACTAGCTTCTCCCATACTTCCGTTTAAGGTTCTTTAACTTTCTTCGAACGATAACGAGTAAGCAAGGATTAGAGAAGTATACTTGAGTACCTCCTCCTCTTCTTATGCTGATTTTGTTGTCGCTTTGTTTGATCCTACTTTATGTGTCGACTAAAGGAAAGAGCTACTAAATGTTAGAATATGAAGTTAGCTTCCTTCTTCTGGTAGCTAGGATATAACCTCGAATTGTTAAGGAGCCAAAGGAGCCTTTGAAGAGTATGAGGTATTCTCATACGCTATAGGACCTAAACTACGGTTTAAACGCTCTCTAGAAGATAGCTTACTTCGAATTGTTCTAGGAGAAATATGCCCTAAACCAGCTATTGTTCCTTTTTCTCCTGCAGTTACTGTTGCTTATGCTTCTAAAGCATTTGTTGCTAAAATCCAAGATATGTTTTATAAGACAGCGCAACTAAAGCCTTACCGAATGGTAGACGTAAAACCTTAGTCTTGGGTCTTTGTTTTAATCTTTTAACAACGTTGTTATCCCCATGAAGACTAGCTAATCTGGCTGCATTATGTTGAACATGCTCTTCTATTCGTTCCACTAGAGTTGCCAGCCTAACTGAATTATCTGACCAGGACATAGTACTCATAATGTGAATTAATAAAGCTTCAAGTGTATGAGGACCAAACAGATCTAACAGTAGTTGTTCATCCGGAGTTAATAAATGTTCAAAGTATGAGAATTCCTCCTCAGTCAAGCTCGAATCATGGATTCCTACCCGTAGGAGACCATTAACAAATGGAAACCAGAAAGAAATTAGCACAGCCTTATCCTGCTATTTTCTTAGTTTCCCATGTGGAAGAAGCATAAAAGTAGGTAGAAACTGTTTAAGAGATGACGGATTTTTGAGAACGAACGACATTGATTTGTGAAAATGGGTTAACATCAAGCATAGTAGGGGCTTGTAGGAAATATTTCAAGCACTACCCCTAGCATGAACCCCACTGTGATCATACACTAAAGTACGGTGGCTTCCAAAGGGAAGAAAGATAGAGCAAAAGAGTCGCCAACAAGTTTTAGGAACTTGTAAACCGTTCACGAGGTGAAGGTTACACCCCTTAACGATCCAGGAGATCGTCAACTCCAATAGGTCTGGAACCATGACTGCTAGTTCGGGGATGAAGGTACAAATCCAACCTAAAAGAGATTGAACCTGCCCTAATAATAGGCCTTACTTTATTCTGATCGTATTCATGTGCGCTTTCTGACTAACATGCAATCAATAATATTACCCTAAACCTGTTTAATCCATGTTGGTTGAATATTAATGCACAAATAAAACTATAATTGGTGATCACTTGAATTATAATCAAATTAACCCTAAACAAGATTATCAATTATCTTATTAAGCGTGATTACAAGTACCAATTCCCTTTAAACATGCATAAAAAGGTGTGATCAAGCAATAACAAATATAAATATCAATCAACATAATATTAATCATAACAATTATAAAAATAATCATAATCATAATTATCATAATCATATAAAGCATAACAATAAATAGCAAGATCCTAGGCATGATACAACAAGATTAATGACAAATCCTAACATGATACTATCATGATATTAGGAAAGACAAATAGGAAGCATCATATAAATCATAATAAGCATATTTGATATTAGAAATTATAGTTATTACCCAAAACATGGAACTAGGAAGCAATAAAACATCCTAACATGATACTAGGAATCATAATAACAATCTAGACATGATTTCTATATCATAATAACAATAAATCAATTAAAGCACTTACTTGGATGCCTCGTATCTCTTTCTAATAACAAAATACACACATTAGTAACTTCAAGGAAAATATAAAATCAAAGAAATAAATTAAATAATTGAAAGAGAGATTTGGGACCAAACCCTCAGAAATTAAAACCTTTCACGTCTAGGGCGAAAGCAACTTCGAATTTGTCTAGGTGTTTCTAGATCTTGTGAATGCGGAATTTTGTATGCAGAAGCTAGTTTAGAAGAGAGAGAGAGGGAGAGTAATCAAGATATTCTTGATGAGAGTTGGTGATTTTTGATGATTGAAAACGAAGGTTTTAAGAGGCTATTTATAGGGAAAATTAGCCGGATGGATAAAAAACGAATCAGAGTTACGAAAAGAATAAAACACGACTGCAGCGCCAAACGCTAGACACTAGCGCTAGATGCTAGGTCTAGCGCCAGACGCCAAGCCCGGCGCCAGGCGCTGATGCTAGAAAACAGTTTCCACGCGTTTTCTTAATTTGATAAAATTTAGCCGTACAGGAGGGCAAAATCGTTTTTTCCTTAAAAACACTTCTTTTATTCTGATTAAAACTCTTAAAAGTCAATTAAAGTCAATTTATCAATGCTAATTAAATTAGGATTCAAAAGAACCTTCTACAAGAATCTAGAAGACTATAATCAATTCTAATTACATTAGGAATGATAAATCAATATTAGGCCTTCCTCTAGATCATTGGGCCGCATATAAAATCAAACCGGGCCCAGTTTAATAATTTGGCCATAACTTCCTCATTATTCATCGGAATTGGGCTTATAATATATCGTTGGAAAGCTCTTTTCGAACCTGACCCAACTACACTAGTATTGGACCCTTGCCATGGACCAAACCAAACAGGAATGACTATTTTCTTAAAATAGATTTTCAAAAACAGAGAGAAAGAAAAGAAATAAAAACTAACCGCAACACTAGAATTTCCACACTTTCACTTCATTCGATTATGATTCGACATGAAAGATATTCATCAATGGGTTTGGTTTTGGGGAGACACAAATGGGTGTCTACAGAAGCCCCCACTTTGACTGAGTTTGGAGAAACGTAAGTTTCGAAAACAAAAGTCAAAGTATCGATAGGGACGGAGAATGATTCAGAACATTCTGCGATCCTAAATCACTCTTGTAACGCCGATACCTGCAAACTAGCGTTAGTTAAACAGATAAAAGAGTTAAGAAACGCGTATCTAGCACTGTCGAGCACACGTCTCTGAAGGTAACCGATTTGTTGCTACATTTGCTGGTGTGACAACCTTCCGCAAGCTAGGGAATTCCATCCTGCTGTTTGTTTTGACGATCTTCTACAAGCTAGAGAATACCGCCTGAAGACTGCTACGCCTGTAACTGCCTTCAATTCCGCCGTGATAGACTTCTACAAGCTAGAGAACCCTATCGAAGATTGCTTCGCCTGAAACGACCTTCTAGCGCTTTGTGATCATCTTTCGCAAGCCAGGGAACACGATCAAAGATTGCTTTGCCTGAAACTATCCTCATTTGTTTGTGACAACCCTCCACAAGCTAGGGAACGTTGTCGAAGATATCTTCGCTTGAAGTCATCCTCATTTGTTGCAATAATATTCCGAGGAAAATTACCGAAGACCAATGCTTGTCGACCTTTAAAAGCTCGCTTGAAGTTTGTTTCCGCTATGCCAGTATGTCGGCGCTTTTGCTGCTTGTGAACCATTATGTCGGTGCCTCTTCTGTTTATGAACCATTACGTCGGTGCCTCTGTTCTTTATGAACCATTATGTCGGTGCCCCCACTGTTTATGAACCATTATGTCAGTGCCTCCAATGAGCCAATTCTTAGGCGCGTTAAGCTAAGTGAGACGATCATTCATCAGGTCGACCACTTAATGCGATTGTAATCGAGCCGATTACTAGATATGTCAAATTTCTTAGAGAGGCTAACTGGCGTACCAAGGAACCCAAAATTGTTGTAAGAGGTCGAAATAAGCGTTCTGAGTAGCTGAACGTTCTGTCGCCGATGAAAAGTTGCTGACGCCATGATTTGTCTTTGGCGCCAGACGCTGGATCTAGCTCTAAGCGTTGAATTATGGTGTCAGACGCCAAAGCTGTTGTTTGGCGCCAGAGTCTTGAATTCCGTATATATCCCCTTTATTCCTCATTTTGCCGCTGCTGCTGCTTATTCTCTGAAAATCGCCGTGAAACTTCAACTTGGTCGTTCTTACTCGTTTCTCAACCAAATTTGCTCAAATTTGTTGCAACTCGAAGCTTTTTCCATCTACTTTCCCGACCTATGTAAGTTTTCTTTAAACTCACCCCGGTTTTTGATGAATTTGACATTCTTGTTCACGAATTTTTGGAAAATTCGAACCTTTAATTACTTAATTCTCTTTGTTTGTCAAATTTTATGCCATTAAATTGCTTGACTATGTTTATATATTTCCTTGGGAGTATTTTGAGACTTGTTTGACTCAATTTGGTGAAGAAACGAACAAATCACCATTGTTGGGCTTCTTAAGGTCGGGAAGACAATGTGGCTTGTTCTTGATGTTTTTGCTTGCAATTCTTGTCCAATTTGTCACAATAATTACTGTTTTGGGTGTTTTTGTCCCTCGGGAGAGTTTTACCTGCAAAACAACGGAGACTCCGGGTGGTAGGAGCTCCGCCTTCGACGATCAAGTTAGTAACTTGAAAGGGAATAAAGAGTACGGAAATTTAGGTGGGGATCTGCTTCGAATCCAAGCTCAGGTGTTTCTCTGATGTGAGAGAATGTAAGTGTAATAAATGATTGAATGTGTCCCCAAACTGGGGAAATATCTCCCTATTTATAGGGTCATTGGAGAATGTGCCCCCATCTAGGTCACTTGACCTAGATTTTAGTGGGCTGCACCGTTTTACGGCTCTTCTTGGGATTTGGGCCCTTGAAGGCCGCCATTTCATTGACGAATATAAGGGCGCCATGTGTCAAGAGGATATTAAGCCACATGGGCCATCCTGAACTCGACACGTGGCCTCCTCTCGTTGGTCCACGTGTCTAGGGTATTTTTACCCTAAACATTTGCCCCTCACAGGACGCACGTGCATATCACGTGGGGCCTGTGACACGTGTCCACCTTTCAAAGGTGAACAGTAACGAGTAAAAATTTGAATTTCAAACCAAAGTTTTTCCCCCCGCTTTCACCTTCTATAAATAGAAAGTTACCCCCCCTTTTTCTCTCACCTTACGTTCATTTGACTTTTTAGAGAGAGAAAGAGAGAGCTTTTTGGAGAGAGATTCTCTGCCTCCGTCTGCATCACAAAAAGTTCAAGTTTCCGTGTGCTAGCAGTTCAACACCAGGTTTACCGGCTGTAGCGGTTTTCAGATTTTTCAGAGTAAAATTAAGGTAACCACCTGTACCATTTTAGCTTTTCTCCTTTTCAACTCGTATACAATTTTTTCTCCGCATGTATACCTAATTTTTTTAGAAAATATAAATGAGTTCTCAATCCACACATCGGCACTGCCTAGGACACTCAGCCGGTCCCATGGGACGGCTGAGTCTAGAACAGGGGGTGCCTTTTCTGGACTGTCAGAACCAATATGCTCATCTCCGAATTCCTCCCTCTCTGTGTCTGTGCAGGACACAATGACCCGAACGAAACAAACGACCAGACGGTCTAGGAGCCGGCGCACTATGGAAGTGCCAGCCGATGAGGTTGTTCTTGATGGGGAACAGAGGGATTTGGAAGAGAGTGGTTCCGATGAAGAGGCTCCCTCTACTTCCGGGAGCTCTGGAGTACGCGAGGTAGACGGCGAGGGAGCCGCCTCCTCTAATGAAGCCGACGATGCTAAGGCCGGCCAAGGGTCAAGGGCCGAATCTTCCGGCTCCGACCAAGATAATTTTGCGGCTGACTATCAGCAGCCGCCTAAGGTCGCTGATAACCCCAATACTAAACGGACCCGGATGCTGCCGGGTAACATCGCCCTTCTCAAAAGCGGCTTTAGGGCCTTTAAAGAAAAGCACCCCTTGGGAAGGGGCTGGGACATCAACGTTCCTCCGGCTGACGCTGTAATGGCCTGGAACGATGATATTGACAATGCAGACCATTACTTCGTCTGCTACGAGGCGATCATCGAAGCCGGCCTCCGGTTCCCCCTCCACCCCGGGATTAGGAAAATCCTAAAGGGTCACGATGTAGGGGTTTGGCAGCTCACCCCCAATTCGTAGGTGAAAATTCTTAGCTACATCGCCGCCTGCGAGTTCCAAAATATAAACCCCAGCTTTTCCGCCTTCGCTCACATGCACTACTTGAACAAGGCCCCAGGCGACCATGGGGCATGGTATACTCTGACTACCTTGCCCCAATATTTGATGACTTTGGACAAAGTGTCCAAATGGTCTGGGTGGAAGGACAAGTTTTACTTGATTTCTTCCCCAACTTTGAAACATAACCGGACACTGCGCCGGTACAACACTGAGCCGGCTCTTCTAGGCAGGAAGTGCCCTCTCCCGATGCTATCTACTATGGACCGGGAGCAAATAATAGAGCCGTGATTTTTTGAAACAACAACTGAACCCATGGGGGATGGGAATCACATCATAGTTCCCAAGAACTGGATCCCCCATCCGGACTTCTTCAAGGACGAGTGTTTCTTGTCCGCCTGCGGGCTGAGTACCATGTTTCCAAGGGTAGAATACTTTACATCCGGAATGCTTGTTATTTTTATATTTATTGCAAACTTGCCGTAATTTCTTCTAATCATGAATTTTGTTCATGCAGCCGACGCCTTGAGAATGGTCGACCCGGCGAAGACTCCGGCTAAGTCGGCGGCGCTGCTGCGCAAAGAGGCTGCGCTTGCTAAGAAGGCAGCCGTCGAAGTCAAGGACTCCAAGAAAGGCGGGGTAAGACCGCCTGACTTTTTATGCGTTTACATAATATTTTTTTTTACTTGCCGGTTAGGTATACTTACCCTTGTTTGCTTCTCAGGACTCCGCCAAGAGAATTCCACGATCCTTCTCCAAGCTGCTCAAAAGGCAAGGAGACGATCTGGAGAAAACTCCGGCTGCGAAGGCCGCCAGAAGGACCCTCCTCCCCAGAAACAATCTTCTGCCCAATCCGGTCGTCCAACGACCGGGGGCAAATCGCTTGCTGCGATGAAAATTCTGAGCGAAAGCTCAGAGCGCTCACAGCAGAAAGCGCCGGATGCCTCTACGGCATCGAAGGGTGGCGAGCCACCTATTGTTGCAGCCGGTGCGGCAACACCTGGGGAGGAGCAGAAGCCTGCGCCCCATCCGGATACCCAAGGTAAGGGACGGATTGAAATACCTTGGCCACTTGATTTCATGAGAATCAAGACTAAGGTTGATCCCTCTGGGGGGTCAGTCAGCAGTCGGCAACGGATGAATGCCAACTATGCTGCCTCTTTCTCAAAGAGTACTACTTGTTTTGGGTGGTTTTGTCCCTTGGGAGAGTTACAACACGAAGACTGATCCGCAGTGAGCTGTACCTGCAAAACAAACGGAGACACCGGTTGGGTGGTGCTCCGCCTCCGACGGTCAAGTTAGTAACTTGAAACGGAATAAAAAGAACGAAAATTAGGTGGATATCTGCTTGGATTCCAAGCTCAGGTCTTTCTCTGATGTAAGAGAATAAGGGTGTAATAAATGATTGAATGTGTCCCTAAAATGGGGAAATATCTCCCTATTTATAGGGTCGTTGGAAAATGTGCCTCTACCTAGGTCACTTGACCTAGAGTTAGTGGGCTGCGCCGTTTTACGGCGCTCCTAAGAGTTTGGGCCTTTGAAAGCCGTTATTTCAGAAACATATCTGAGGGCGCCAAGTGTCAAGAGGATGTTGAGCCACATGGGCCATCCTGAGCTCGACACGTGGCGACCTCTCATTGGTCCACGTGTGTAGGGTAAAAATACCCTAAACATTTGCCCCTCACAGGTCGCACGTGCATGTCACGTGGGGCCTGTTACACGTATCCACCTTTCATAGGTGAACAGTAACGGGTAAAATTTTGAATTTCAAATCAAAATTTTCCCCCCGCTTTTACTTTCTATAAATAGAAAGTTACCCCCCCTCCTTTTCACATTTTACGTTCATATTGACTTTTTAGAGAGAGAAAGAGAGAGATTCTAGAGAGATTTTTCTCTGCTCCCGCCTGCATAATCAGCGAGTTTCAAGCTTCCGAGTGCTAGCAGTTCATCACCCGGTTCACCGGCTGTAGCGATTTTCAGATTTTCCAGAGTCAAAGCAAGGTAACCGCCTGTACCACTTTAGCTTTTCTCCCTTTCGATTTACATACCATTTTTCCGCCTGTATGCCCGGCTTTCTTTAGAAAATAAAAAATATAAATGAGTTCCCCATCCACCCACTCGGCACTGCCTAGGACACTCAGCCGATCCCCTGGAACGGCTGAGTCTAGAATAGGGGGTGCCTTTTTTGGACTGTCGGAACCAATATGCTCATCTCCGAATTCCTCCCTCTTTGTGTTTGTGCAGGACACAATGGCTAGAACAAAACAAACGGCCAGGCGGTCTAAAAGCTGGCGCACCATGAGAGTGCCAGCCGATGAGGTTTTCCCGGATGGGGATCCGAGGGATTTGGAGGAGAGCAGATCCGACGAAGAGGCTCCTTCTACTTCCGGGAGCTCTGGAGTAAGAGAGGTGGACGACGAGGGAGCCGCCTCTTCCAATGAAGCCGGCGATGCTGAGACCGGCCAGGGATCAAGAGCAGAGTCTTCCGGCTCTGACCAAGGGGATTTTGTCTGACTATCAGCAGCCGCCAAAAGTAGCTGACAACCCCAACCCTAAGAGAACCCGGATGCTGCCGAGCAACATTGCCCTTCTTAACAGCGGGTTCAGGGCTTTTAAGGAGAAACATCCCTTTGGAAGGGGATGGGAAGTTATTGTCCCTCCGGCTGATGCTGTAATGGCCTGGGGGGACGACATTGATCATGCAGATGACTACTTCATCTGCTATGAGGCGGTAATAGAAGCCATCCTCCGGTTCCCCCTCCACCCCGGGATTAGGAAAATCCTCAAGGGGTACGATCTGGGGGTCTGGCACCTCACTCCTAACTCGTGGGTGAATATATTAAGTTACATCGCCGCCTGCGAGTTTCAAAACTTGAACCCTAGTTTCTCTGCCTTCGCTCATATGCACTATTTGAGCAAGGCTCCAGGCAGCCATGGGGTATGGTATACACTGACTACCTTGCCCCAGTACTTGATGACTTTGGACAAAGTGTCCAAATGGTCCGGGTGGAAGGACAAGTTTTATCTGATTTCCTCTCCCACTCTAAGACACAACCGGACACTGCGCCGGTATAACACCGAGCCGACTCTTCTTGGACGCTAATGCCCTCTCCCGGATTTTTTGAAACTACAATTGAGCCCATGGGGGATGGGACTCACATTATTGTACCCAAGAACTTGATCCCCCATCCGGACTTCTTCAAGGACGAGTGCTTCTTGTCTGCCTGCGGACTGAGCACAATGTTTCCCAGGGGTAAAATACTTCTCACCTGGAACAATTGTTGTTTTCTTTTTATTGCAAACTTGTCTTAATTCTTTCTAACTTGAAATTCTTGAATTTGCAGAAGAAGCCCTGAAGATGGTTGACCAGGACAAGACTCCTGCCAAATCAGCGGCGCAACTGCGCAAGGAGGCGGCTCTTGCCAAAAAGGCAGCCGTCGAGGCAAAGGACAAGAAAGGCGGGGTAAGACCGCCTGACTTAATGTTTGCATATTTATTTTTTTTTTTTTACCAGTTGGGTATGCTTATATTTGCATCTTTCTCAGGAGTCCGCTAAGAGAATCCCTCGATCATTCTCCAAGCTTCTCAAAAGGAAGGGAGATGGTCTGGAAAAGGCTCTGGCTGCCAAAGCCGCAAGAAAGGACCCCCCCCCCCAAAAAAAGAAAGTTCTGCCCAATCCGGTCATCCAACTACTGGGGGAAAATCCCCTGCTGTTCTGAAAAAGCTAAGTGAAAGCTCAGAACAGCAGAAGACGCCGGATCTCTCAACGGCATCAAAGGGTGGGATGCCACCTGAGGTTGCAGACGGTGCGGCAACCACTGGGCGGAGACCCATCCGGAAGCTCAAGGTAAGGAAGGAACTGAAATACCTTGGCAACTTGATTTCATGAGAATCAAGACCAAGGTTGATTCTTCAAAAGGGTCCGTCAGCAGCCGGCAACGGATGAATGCCAGCTACGCTGCTTCTATCTCATATAACACTACTTTTGATGCAGGTCCGACTTCTGACCAGCCCGACCTTCCAAGCTTCGCAAAGCGGATGGTGAGGATCCTCACCCGGTCCGAGAAGGCATCCATACCTGATCTGCAGGTTGTGGACTTTGACCGGATAATGGGCTCTCTGGCTGAGGTACATGGTTGTTCTATCTTGATGTCTTTCATCATTAATTTGACTAAGTAACTCTTTAACCGACTGCTAATGATTCAGGCAATGGTGAGGGTGGACAATCTCCGGGGCCCCTTCAGGCGGAAGCAAGAAGAGGTAAATGACGCCAAACGGAGGGCCCTAGAAAACCTCAACTTTGCTAAACATTCTGATTATATGTGTAATTCAAAGATTAAAGCAGTAGAGTTGAAACAGGAGGAGCTGATCCGGAGTTTAACGGCTGCAAATGATGAAGCTAACAGCCGGGCTGATGACCTTGACAAGCAGCTGAAAGATGCCAAGTCTGATCTCAAGGCATTAGAGGATTCTAACAAAGAGAATGCCCAACTCCGGACTAACAATTACCGCTTGAAGCTTGAGCTCATGACCCTGCGCAACAAGCAGGCGGATGAGCTGGCCCAGGAGCAGACCCGGCTGACCGAGGAGAATGAGCGGGACAACTTTGCCCGGCTGAAGATCACCTGGGGCCTCCTTTACCCAGAAATAGACTTTGAAGTCTATAAGCTGAGGTATGATTACGCCACTGAGGTGTATGATGCCCAGCAACTGGGTGATGCTCCACCGCCTCGCTTCAAAGACTGGGCTTCTGAGCAGGGATATGAAGTCTCTGATGATGATGAGGAGCAGGCGGATGATCAGCAGAAGGGCCAAGCCAACTAAGCTCAGCTGGAGAAGACTCTGCCTAAGCCTTAGGCGGTCCTCCCACCTTTCTGCGGCAGTATGCCAACTATGTTGTTTGCCGGCTTGCATGCCGTGTTTTGTTGTATCTTTTTACCAACCATGGGGTTGGATTAACATTTCCACTTTCCTTCTGCACCGGATGTGTCCGGTTAACAATTATTCTGGCCTTTGTGCCATTTTATATATAAATGAAGTATTCCGACTCAGTCGGATTTTATATATGTCTTGGGTTTTTTTCAATTTGAATTTTTATTCATCTGTTTGCAATTCTTTAGTATTTTGCCTAACTTAAAAAAAAAGCATGCGACCATTTGCAACTTGGGTGCTCTTGCCCCTGGGCGGCTGTGCGGTTGGTTTAGATCCAGGTTGATTGATTGGCTTGAAAACACTTGATACTTGGAGAAGTATGGAGTGTTTTTAGGCCAATCAATCACAATGGTGATTGCCCTAAACCAAGTGCACAGCCGACCATAAAAACAGGTGTTTTGAGCTTCTTACCCAGGCGGTTAAATTCCGTCTGGGGTTAACGCGTAGCCGTTACACAAACCTGTGCCCTAATAGGGGAAGTGAGTGCAACTTTGGAATAAATAACCCAAGTAAGAATTTCTACCAATGACCGACTGATGCTTATGGGCATCCACTATCTGGAAACTTGTTCGCTCTTCATAGGCTATTTTGGTCAGACGGCTATGAGTTGGCCAATTTGGTCGTTCAATTTTTGCCGTCTGCATTGGTTTATAGAACCGACAAATAGTCTGTTCTCTGCGACGATTGCACCCGGAGGGGTGTCGCCGGACACTTTTGTCCATGTTGGGACAGGCGATTTTATAAAATGAGCAACCATTCGGCTTTTTAGCCTCAGGTCTTGTTTGAGACCGGTTGTATAGCCACTAAACATTTTTGTGCTTAATTTTTAGTCAGTTTTAGTTTTCACTAAGTATCAAACTTTAGTTTTTTTAAACAAGCGGGTCCGTCTGGGTATTACCCAGGCGGATGATCAACCAGTTGAATAAACAAAGTATTAAATTTAAATGAAAAAGGGATCCGAGTATTACCCAGGCGGTCTAACAGACGTAACCTTTACTAAGTGTCAAACTTAGTTAGGAAAAGAAAAATCCGCCTGGGTATTACCCGGATGGATAATTAAGTAATAACTCGATTTTGCAAAAAAAGTCTGAATCTTCATTAATAGACTTACTGTTTACAAAAAGTTTACAATCTTAGAAGTAGTACTTTTTTAGATTGTCTACATTCCAATTTCTAGGCAGACGCCTTCCGTCTGGGGTTTCCAGGCGGTAGGCGCCATCCTTTACTTCTTCATAAATCCGGTAGGGGCCTTCCCAATTGGGAGTTAACTTTCCCAGCTCATTGGCCCTACCGGTTGCCTCCATTTTCCGTAACACAAAGTCATCCACTTTAAGAGGACGTTTGTGCACTCTCTTGTTATAGGCTCTGGTCATCCTCAGACGGTATATCTCATGGTGCAGGACAGCATTGCCCCTACGCTCCGGGAGGGAGTCCAATGCCAGCCGCATGGCCTCCCAATTTGCCTCTTCATCATAGAGCATAACTCTGAGAGTCGGCTCATAATGCTCAATGGGCAAAACGGCTTCAGCACCATATACCATAAGAAATGAGGTCTCTCCGCTTGCCCCCTTCGCTGTTGTCCGGATGGCCCATAGGACATGGATTAATTCTTCTGCCCATAAGCCACCGGCTCTTTCTATTTTCTTTTTAATGCCGTCTGAGATGAGTTTGTTGAAGGCTTCAACTTGGCCGTTTGCTTGGGGCCGGCCAATAGATGCAAAATAGCTTGAGATTCCCTGATCTCCCAACCAAGTTTTTAGCTGAGGCGTCTGATGAGTGATATTTATGTCACTCCTAGGGTAGTTCTTTCTAGTAGTTTTAGCAATAATTCGGTTCATCCTAGTGTGCTTTTGTTATGTTTTGCCTAATTTAAGCAGTCTACCTATGTGTTGCGTAATGTGTTTTTATTTGGTTTAGGTAGGCTTTGCTCCCCTCCCTCTTTGTTGTATTACGCTTCGCCTTCCTATTTTGTAATTGCAGATTGATTGCGGTTCAAATTGACAAGGAGCAAGAGTAAGGATCGAAGCATTGAACCAGCAGTTTGGAGCAAGCGCAACTATAGGCGCGGGCGCGCCACCTTGGGCGCGGGCGAGCGACTTCCTGGCGTGGGCGCGCGCTGAGCTGGCCCAATCCTGTGACACCCATTTTTGAGCGGGCGCGCTTCTTGAGGAGTGGCCGCGTCACCATCTAGCGCGCGGACGCGCCGTTGTGCAGCGCGGGCGCGCCTGTCTGCTGCGGTCCGCAACCTGAAATCAGATTTAAAAAGCAGAGAAGAGGAGAGAGAAGGCAGCATTCATTATTCACATATTGAAACTTTTAGCATACTCTTTAGAGGAACATTCTTAGCATAGATTTTAGCTTTCTTGTATTGGAAATTCTTCCATAGATCTTAGTGTAGATCTTCAATTTATCAATTTTAGCTACTTTGGGTATTTTGAGGAAGCATTTTGGAACTCTATTGGTGTTTGTCATCTCACTTGGTATTGAATGAAACTATTGGTATTCTTCTTTTTATTCTTTTGTTATATGCTTAAAGTTCCCATCTTTGTTGGTTTAATTGGTGAAATTATCATCTCTCTCATTAATTTCTTAATTACTTTGTTGATTAGTGTAGTTGTAGTTAGGGTTATGGATTGTGAGTAGTTTTCTTATTGCTAGGGGTTTGGTGGAGACATGCTTTGAATTTGATGTATGATAGGCTAGGCTAGTTTTGAATACTTGCAATTAAATCTTCCTTGCGCCTATACTTTTTGGCTACTCCATGTTTATGGCCATATGTATGTTGTGGTTGAGTTACTTGAATTAAATCATGACGATAGTGTGATTTAGGAATAGTCATTGGGTGATTGATTATTGTCTAACCTTAGTATTGCATGCCTTATGACGATAGTGTAAGTGCATGTTAACTAGGAAAGCTCTTAATCCCGATAGGTGATTAGAGAGTACTCTTGACTTTGCCTTGTATGAGTTGCTTGGTTTGCATGTAAACCTACTTCCCTAAGCCTAGCTCCTTTGACTTCATAGCACGTTCGACCCCTACCCCTAGCATTTATTTTAACTAATTTGACATACTCTTTAGTCATTAATTCATCCACTATTTTCCTTGACCGAACTAGATTAACTTTAGGAGATAGATAGCAGTGCTTAATCGTTTCCCTGTGTTCGACCCTTGACTTGCCTCTATGCTCTTTTAGTTGCATGTTTAGGACTACAAATATCATTTGATAGAGGTGTCTTAGTAACGACCTAAAACACCGCCTGTCAGCGTCTCAAACTGAGGACCATTATCAAACACCGTAGACATAAGTACTCCGTACCGGGTGATAATGTTCTTCCAAATGAAGGAAATTACGTCTGAGGTCTTGATGTTTTTGACCGCCTCAGCCTCCACCCACTTGGTGAAGTAATCCACAGCCACCAAGATGTAGCGCTTTCCGCCTGGAGCAGGCGTGTAAGGAACTAGAATGTCCATTCCCCATTTTGCAAACGGAATTGGGCTGTGGATGGCCGTCAGATCAGTAGCCGGTCGGTGAATGAGTTTGCCAAATTTTTGGCACTTGTCACATTTCTTCACCAACTCCTTGGCGTCTGCCTCAAGAGTGGGCCAAAAGTAATGTCGTCTGGCTCTGACGGCTAGGGACCTGCCGCCTATATGAGAGGCGTAGAATCCCGAGTGCAAGTCTTCGAGAACTTCCTTCCCCTTTTTTGGGGTGACACACTTCAACAGGGGTTTAAGAAATCCTGCTTTGAAGAGTTCTCCATTTTTCAACTCGAAGCTTGCAGCTCGCTTTTTCAGGACGGCTGCTTCCTGTGGTGAATCAGGGAGCGTGCCGTCTGAAAGATAAGCCCGGATGACATCCATCCAAGTGGAGCTTCGGTCTAAGGTTCCAATGGGCTCTTAATGTATGCTTCTTTTTTCAAGAACTTCCCAAAAGACCGACCGAGGAGTATCACAGCAGGCGGATGAAGCCAATTTGGACAAGGCATCCGCCTGGTTGTTATCTGACCTGGGCACTTGATTCAGACGGAATTCCTTAAGTTCCCCAGTCTTTTCCTTGACTGCCTGAAGATATTTGATCATAGCCGGATGGGTTGCCTCATATGTTCCTTCATACTGGCTAACGACCAACTGTGAATCAGAATAGGCGTCAATCAATGTTGCCCCTGCCGCCTTACACATGCGGATTCCAGCTAGCAGGGCTTCATATTCCGCCTCATTATTTGAGGCTTGAAACTTAAACCGCAGTGCATATTCAAAATTTTCCCCCTGTTGGGGACTCATATATAATTCCTGCACCACAGCCGTTCTTTGTTGAGCTTCCGTCTACATACACTTTCCAAACCTGGTCAAGATTATCCGGTTGCACCGGTCGGGTCATTTCAACAATGAAGTCGGCAAACGCTTGACCTTTCACTGCTTTTCTAGGTTCGAAAGTGATTTCAAGACTTTGCATTTCAATAGCCCATTTCAACATTCTTCCGGATGACTCCAGGGTAGACATTGGCCGTTTGAGGAACTGGTCGGTGTAGATTACCACCGGATGAGCCAGGAAGTATGGCTTCAATTTCTTAAAAGCCATATATAGAGCAAGGCCAAATTTTTCTACCATGGGGTACCGGAGCTCAGCATTTTTTAAGACATGGCTAATGAAATAGACCGGAAGCTGAACACTGTCTCTCTCAGCAAGGAGAACGGCGCTGAGGGCATGATCTGAGACAGCTAAGTACATGTATAACACCTCCCTAGGTAATGGACTAACAAGTCTTGGCAAAGAGTGGAGGTGTTCTTTCAGCCGTTGAAAGGCCGCCTCAGCCTCATCCCCCCATTCAAATCTGGTTTTCTTCCTGATTGCTTGGAAGAAGTAAAGGCATTTGTCACCTGACCGGCTGAG